TGAAAGTTTTGCTGGGCATAGTATTCTGGACTGGCATCTGTGATCTCTTAATGTTTGCATAATGCTTGACCAGGACCTTCTGGCTTTCTTTGTTTTATTGAGAAGTCAGGTGTAATTCTTATAGGTCTGCCTTAATATATCACTTGGCCTTTGTCCTTTGCAGCTCTTAATATTCTTTCTTTATTCTGTATGTTTAGTGTTTTGATTATTATGTGGCAAGGGAACTCTTTTTTCCTGATCCAGTCTATTTGGTGTTCTGTAAGCTTCTTGTATCTTTATAGGCATATCTTTCTTTAGGTTGGGAAAGTTTTCTTCTGTGAGTTTGTTGAATATATTTTCTGTGCTTCTGAGTTGGACTTCTCCTTCTTCTATATCTATTATTCTTAGGTTTGATCTTTTCATGGTGTCCCATATTTCTTGAATATTTTGTGTTACGCTTTTGTTAGGTTTAATGCTTTCTTTGACTGATGAGTCAATTTCCTCTATTGTATCGTTAATGCTTGAGATTCTCTTATTCTGCTGTTTATGCTTGCATTTATGATTCTTGATCACTTTCTCATAATTTCCATTTCTATAATTCTCTCAGTTTGTGTTTTCTTTACTGTTTCTATTTTAGTTTTCAAGTCTTGAATAGTTTCTTTCATATGCTTGATTTCTTTTTCTTGCTTTTCTTTAAGGGATTTGTTGATTTATACCTTTTCTTTCTTGTGTTTTCCTTCATTTCTTTGGGTAAAATTTTCATTTATTCTTTGATGGCCTCAAACATTCTTTTAAAGTTACTTTTTAGGTCATTTTCTTCTGCTTCATCTATATTGGTTGTTCAAGTCTTGCTGTTGTAGGGGCACTAGGGGTTTTTTTGTGTGTGTGTGTGTGTGTTGTGTTGCTCTTTGTGGTGTTGAGTGTGTTCTTACCTTGTCTACCCATATTTTCTCTGATTTGTGTAGTTGGGGCTGTCTGGGTCTCTGGTGACCAATCTTCTAGGTTCCAGTGAATCCAAGGCTCAGATGGTTGCTCCTCATGGTACAGTCAGGGTCACAGTTCCAGTCACCCTGGAGGTCACTCAGCACTCCAGGGGTTTGGGTTGCTCTGCAATACAGGAGGTCATTCAGGCCTGCTCTGCTGAGGTTGATTGCTTGGGGCTGCTCCTCTGAGGTCACTACCCTGTGCCTGCTCTGGTAGAGGTCTCTGGCTTGTGCCTGCTCCCTCAGCGGTGGCTTGTAGTTGCTCCTGTGGAGGTTGTTGCTGCCTCAACCCTGCACCAGTGGATGTCACTGGCTCAAGCTGTTCCTGTGAAGAACCCTTGGGCCTGCTCCGTCTGAAGTAGCTGGCTAGGGCCTGTTCCCATAGATGTCCCTGCTTGGACCTGCTCCCTGGGGATCCCTGATTGTGCCCCTTTCCACAGAGGTCTCTGGTTTGGGCCCCTTTTTATTTTTTTATAAATACATTTTTCAAGTAGGGAGCCAGAACATTAGTTTGAGAGTCTGATTCATAATGTTCAATTATCTAGAAGCATGATACAGGCCACAAAAATAGTAGGGAAGAATGTACACATAGGCCTAAAAGTATAGCTCCAGCATTGGTATGCCAAAAAGAGGAAGGGTTAAAACATCCTGTATTTTCTAACTCAGTATCTTGAAAACCATGAACAGCTCAAGATACCAGAGCATCTATTTCTTCTTCTACATGGAATGGAATTAATATAGACCTGGGTGATTTACATAGTTATTGGATAGTCAGATGGGATACTGGGTGTGCTAGCATATTGTAAGCTGTTTGCTGGCACATAACTGTAAAGTGTTATTATAAAAAGGAAAGAGAAAGATATTAATAAAATTGATATTTGTGAAAATTTGAAAAAAATATAAGGTTATCTTATATATGTTTGAGGAAAATCATGGTAGAGTGTGTGTGTGTGTTTGTGTGTGTGTGTGTGTAGTCATTTAAACTTCTGGGGGCATTATAGACTTACTGGAAGAGTCCTTTTTCACATGGAAAATACAAGCTGTCAGAGCAGAGTGGTTCAGGTCAGTTGACATTCATACCAAGATTCAAGACAGACTCATGAGGGATAGTGTTAAGAACTTGAGGCTGGGCCAGAGCAGATCTGTTCAAATCTCCCTGAAGCACTTGCTCACTAGAATTATGTAATTATGATCATTCTACAGGCGTTCATAAGCCCACTCCCCCCCCCAAAAAAAAAAAGAAAAAATAAAGGAAACTGTCTTTGCTGAGGCAAATAAAATGGAGACAATCTTTTCATTGATAAAAATCTGCCCACAAAACAAATACTGTTCCTCAGGACCTGTTGCTAAAAAAAAAAATCCGTCTGAGGACAAATGGAATGTGACTTCTGGCCAAAAGAATTTTGAATGTATTTATGATAGTTTTCTGTTTGATATTTTGGTCATTTTGTTCCCACCCAACATCAGGAAATTAATTGCACTCTAAATTAGACCCCAAGAGCGATTTTTCCACTTACATTCTGAAGTAAACGTTCAACTTGTTCTCAGCGAAAATTCAGTTTTTCCTGGGTCAGTTTGACTCGAAGGCTCTGGTGAGAAGAGATGGATCACTTTGAACAGAGCGCAGCCGGCTGTGAGAAAGGCACCTTCCTCCCCTCTGTCCAGATTCTAGCAGGAGCTGGGCAGTGTCCTATGGAGAGGTTCCGCTGAATGGAAAGCAGCTTGTGGCCCATGGCAGTGCGCTTTGTTGAGCTCCGGGTGATTGGTAACCTGGACTTGGACGTCTGACAGAGTCAAGTTTGCAGTCACGGCAATGTAATGTCTCCACGCCTTGCATTCCCTGCAGATGGCTGGGCTGTATATGTAAACACTGACATGGATATGTTGTGAAGATATGTAATCATGGGAAGCTTTGTGCCCATATCTGGTGACTACAAGGCCATTTCCTTACAGCAGTGCTACTCAGTGTGTGACACACAGCCTGGCAGCCAGTTTAGTCGATACTAAGCAATAAGATAAACTTTGCACACCATATGAACTAATTGTATTACGAGCTTCAGGACTTCTTCTGTGTTTAGTTTAATGCAGTATTCTGTATCACTACGGCACTGGGATTTCAGCTATTTATTTTCATAGTTTGACTTCTTCTAAAGAGGAGCGATGCTCCGAATCTCTTTGTCGTTGTGCTGTGGCACACTGAGTAACGTGTGCTAGAGGAACAAATAGATAATAACAGAAGCAGAGCTTACAGAAGGGCTCTGGACTACTAAGATTCACAGCTGGCACCTAAGTAAACCATTAACCTCTTCAGTTGAGTTTCCTTGCTTTAACAGTAAGAATAGTTTCGAGGCTCAGAATAAAGATACACATGGAATCATTTTCAGGTGCTATAGAATCTTATTAACAGCAGATGTTAATATTTTGGAGAAACTTGAGTCCTTTCTGTTTAATTGGCTGGTGTTTTCAGTTCTAACTGCCAGAAGTTTGAAAAGTCTGAGAGAATGGGTTATTATTCAGAGGTTCTCGTTTCACTTGTACAACTGCAAAACTTGTTGTACAGTTTTACAGAAAAAATAAGTATTGATCTTAACATTTTAATTGTGGAAATTGTATATTATACTTTAAATTTGTGTGCATAGTATAATGGTCACATTGATCTCAAAAACTTATCTATCACCACATTTATCATTTCTTACAGTGACAATACTTGAATTTTTTTCTTTTAATGATCAAGAGTAAAATTGTTATTAGTTGTAGCCATATTACTCAATACCTCTTTTGTATATATCACTAGATACACAATAGACCTTTTGAACTAATTGCTCACCTCTAACTGAAACCTGTGTTATTTGACCAGTCTCACTAAACCCCCATGTCTTGTCCTCATTCCACCGTTCTTCTCTCTGATTCTATGAATTCATCTTTTTTTTTTTAAATTCCACATGTAAGTGTAATCATGGGAGTGTCCATCTTTGCCATTGCTTTATTTCATTTAATATATGTCCTCAGGGGAATCTGTGTTGTCAGATACAGGATTCTTACAAGCTGTATGGTATTCCATCTTATTTCTCTCTCTCTCTCTCTCTCTCTCTCTCTCTCTCTCTCTCTCTCTTTCTCCCTCTCTGCTTCTCTGTCTCTCTATAAATGTGTGTGTATATGCATCACACTTCCTTAACTTTTTTGAACACAAATGCTTAGTCTATAAAGCTAAACTAACATTTATATAAAGCAGTAAAAATCAGGTAATACCAGCAAATTATCGTCATAAACTCTGGAGCGTAATTTTAATGTTAGTGTCTGTGGTAGCGTGCTAGGCAGCTGGTACAGTGAGTGTAATAATGAAAGCTATGCAGCACGCTCAACAGTGCACCCATTTTCCTCGCGAGGATCTTGCTAACTCGTCATGGATGCCCTCTCCAGACATAATATTGTCAGCCTTGCGATCTTTCCATTAGTTTTCTATGCCAAGGCTGTTAGCTGATCAAGGTCAGCACTCAGACTGGAGTATAACACTGTGAACATATAGAGGGACTTTCAGTTAAAGGGGAGCTGGGTTCAGATCTTGATTCTATTCTAAACTTGCTATGTGATTATATATACTATATATAATATATATCCTATTCTATACTAGCTATATGATTGGGAGTTTATATTTTCCTAATTGTAAGAACAGAATTATAAAGCCAATTGTGTTAAAGTATCATTTGGCATCAGATCACTATCCAAAGAGAATGAAATATGGTAGATGATCAGTTATTTTCCTTCAAATTCCATTTCTCTCTCAGAAATGACAAGCCCTCATCAGAAGAATAGCTTTATTCACTGATTTGAATAACTGTAGAGTAAATTAGAATAACTCAAAGACAAAAAAGTTCAGAGTTTAATCCCTGCTCTCCCAATATTGATGATGAAATGGCGTGATATTGTGCGGAGTGCTTGCCTTATGTAATGATGCTGATTCTTTTTCTAAAGCTTGGAATATTGAAGACTGCCAACTTATTTGTTTGTTTATTTATTTATCTATCTATTTATTTGTAGGGTGAACGAGGAGAATGTGGTAAACCAGGAATGAAAGGTGACAAAGTAAGGCAAACAGTTTTGAAGTGTTAACAGTTTGATCCCTTTTGGCCTGAGTTTCTTTGAGAAACAAATCCTGGGATGAACTATGTACATCTCTCCTAGAGCTAGAGTTCACTTTTCACATCTAAAACATGTAAACACTGACGTAAGCATGTAAGACATGAAATAAACATGTAAGAACTGAAGTAAACAGGTAAAAATGAAGTAGAAAACCAAAGAATACACAACCTAGATAATGAAGTTTCCCCCTGCAAACCATTAAGGCCATTTGTGACATCCCAGTTTTAGAGGTCAGTCTATTGGACATTATGGGGGGAAGAATAACTAGCCAGTCAATGCAAGGGCCGGTGGGGCACACTGGAATGGTCTTCTGATGCAGCTTCACACAGAGGACTGAAAAGCACCAGGAGGTTAGTGACATTATAGGAAGCATGTGGCAGACCTAGACATAGGATCTGAAATATAGAGAATGCAGTAAGATACAAACAATAGTATAACTGTTTACCTTAGTTCAATATAAATGTGGGAAAGGACCTTGAACTAGAGACTATTCAACTTCGCATGCTAAATACTTTCTTAATAGATCCAAACTACACAGTGTATACAAAAATATAATTATAAAGGATCCCAAAATGCATAAAATAAAAATAGTTGCCATTCTAGTTAAGAACTACTGACTATGAAGGCTATTAATATAATAATATATAAAACATGTGTTAACTGTATGAATGGAAGTGACAAGAGAAAATAAGCAGAGATTAATGAAAAGGATAAAAAAAATGATACTGGCCTGTTGGAGCAAATTCTTTAAATAGCTTGGTCTTTCCTGGGGGCTGATAAACACTGTAGAGCTGTGGACAGGCTGATCTGCAGAAAGCAGGTTTGGTGACTATTTCTGGGTAAATAAAAAAGAAACATTGAGAACTTTCAAATGGAAAAGGGACAGGGGAATTTCTAAGTGAGCCAAATAGTTGGGAAAGTATTATGAGATTAAAATGGTTGACAAATAATATATTTCATTGACTAAGATGCTAGGTATTATAACATGCTGCATTATTTTCTGTGCCAAAAAGAAAATACTGCCAATTGATGTGATTCATTTCAAGTGTATCTCTATGTTAAAATGTAAAAATATGAATATGTACATATATATAGGATCCAGAAAATAGGGCATCATTAATATGAAGCATTCACACAAATTTATAAGAAAAATGTGTGAAGGCATGAGACAAAAAGAAACAAAATGAGGAAAATAGTGGTCACCATCAATAGACATCTTCTAGAATCCTTATCAATGGATCAGAAGAGGACAGAGATGTAAACACACACATCAGTCCTAAGGTTATTTAAAACAGCACTCATCAGAAACCCTTTAATGTCAAATCTAGGGAATGAGTAACCAATTATGGTGTATCCTGATTCTCTTTTTTTTTTATTGAGAATAAGAAAAAAAAAGTTTCCGCCTCCTCCCAGCCTCCCATTTCCC